ATGGAGGGGAGAAAAGAACAAATTTCAAAAATAAAGCAAATATGAGGATGAATGGAACAATCCAAGGACAAAATTTAACAATCGCACAATATAAAAAGAGGTTCAAAAATGTTAAGAGCAGCATTCCACGAAAAAAAAAAAATTACAAAATAGATAAAGAGACACTCTCTCCCCCTCTCCCTGCATCCTCTTAAGTCACATTTGTAACCGGTTGTTTCTTTTTCCAAACAGGACATGAAATTAAATAGAAATTTGGGTGTGAAACTGAAATGAGATCAAACTATCCTAGCAGTATGACTGCTCTGTGATAACATAAAATAGCCTTCCTTTACCTCATGTCAAAGAAAAAAAGCCGTCTCGTGCATTAAGAATCGCAGTTCAAAAATAAATATATTTTGGGATACGTTTCCGTGCCCTCGATTCTGGATTCACCAGTCCGCATGGGAAATGATGACAAGGCCATGGAAATCAAAGAGCAGCATTGAGTTTGCCCTCTGCCCTTGCTTCTTTGACTTGTTCGAATACCTATAAAGGCCGTTAGCTCAAGCGCCCTGCCCATAAGTTTTGTGATGCTCTCTGAAACTGACCTTAAGCATTTTGTTTCTCGCCCCAAGAGCATTAACTCCACGTTCCTCTAGTCCTTTATCATTTAATTCGATCAACTCGGTCCACTTGAGATCTTTGAGGTTTTCTGTATACTTGTGAAGTCGAAGGGACCTGAGCCAGCTGGGAATATCCTGAAGGAGATGAGGATCAGTTGGATCCTCTGGCGGCTTTGAGCTGCCTCGTCTTCCACGTGGAGACCGGCCGCGTGCAATCTCGGAATGGTCAGAGAGATAACCCTCGTGATTACCACTAAATTGGGCCACATTGAGCCCACCAAACCCATTATTTAACAACGCATTCGTATCGTACGCAGCCAGAAATCCGTTGTTCTGGGGGGAGGCGAAATTCATGTGCCCCATGCCGCCTCCCTGCATCGCAATTCCTGGGGAATTGGGGCGAGATCGGCGACCACTCATGGCAGCCTGTTGCTGGGCTTGCAAAGCAGCAATTTGCTGGGCATTCAATATTTGGCCAACATCATTAACCATGATCAAATTCGTTGCCGGAAGGTTGTTTTTAGGAATTCCAGGGGAGAGCGGTTGTTGGTTAATGTTCAAGTTTTTTCCCTGTCCATCATTAGACCGAGCACGGCGATACTTCCGTGCATCGTCCAATGCAATCCGGTTATTTACGGTGGACAAGGCAGCCAGCTTCATAGCTGTCGCATTGGCAACCATATCTGCTTGCGATGGGGCATTCTGTTGTTGACTAAAGGTTGCACGCTTGGGGTGTTTGCCATTGATGGCC